GATTGTTGCATTTGTTTTGAGAGACTGTGAGGAGGGGGGAGAGTGTTGGCAGAGCCTGTCAATCTGTTGCCTCAGCCGCGCTATCTTAGTGTTTTGACACAACACCCACAGTAGCAGTGAGATGTTTATATCAGGCCCTCCTGCAGTCCATAACGGCGACCTCTGCCAGCCTGGGGCTGGGTGTGCCTTCTGGCCCGTCTCCAAGCAGTTTTTCTTTTCCTTTCTGGTTTTTGTTTTGCTTAAAGACATTTTGCAGCTTCAGTTTCCTCTTGGTTGCTTCACTGCCCTTTGGCTCCCTAACTTGAAATGCTTCTGGTTTTTGCGGAGTCCAGCTATGGTCAGCATGAGCAGTGAGATCTCATCAGAATGAAACAGATGAGCACTGAGAGCTCATCCCCATGGTTCACTATCCGGAACAGAATCGAAGAAAGAGGAAGACTGTTTGATTTGGGGGCTTCGTAGAACTTTCTAGAGTCTTGGTTTTTCTTCCATGATGAAGTTTTAAATATAACATTTAATATACTTGGGCAATGATTCGGGCTTACTGTAGGCATTCGGTAGGTGATGGGGCAGTTAGCTCAGTACTACCTCCTCTATTCCTGCCGGGGATGCTCTCTTTAAAGTTCTGGGAATCATATTAAAACAGGTGAACTCCTGTCAGCCTCACTCAGTCCTGAGGCTGACATCCATCTTCTCCAATCAGAGGATCGCTTCCTCGGGGCTAAAGCCCGCGCAGCCCCTCCCTTCTGATTCCACCACGTGCACCAAATCTACACTCCCAAGAAAGGGAAGAACAGACCCAGGTTTTAGATGGGAGGGGAAGACAGGAGGCCTGAGGAAACCTGAAACTCAAAACTGTTCAACACCAGCACGAAAGCAAACGCCACCTGGGCTGTGGGGGACACCAACCACTGCGTACTTGTGACAATTAGAGTCACGGGAATGGACTTGGCTGCAGGAGCTGTGCAGTTTGTCAGCTCAGAGCAGTATAGAATGTGACATTGCACACACTGAGATGAGAAATGTTTATTAAAACCTGAAAAGAACTGCCTAGGTTATAGGGGGTGACCTTAAAAAGGGCAAAACTCCCCCAATGTCATAATAGTATTAATAAAGAGCGGGGGGGGCTGGAGAGATGGCTCGGAGGTTAGGAGCACTGCCTGTTCTTCTGAAGGTCCTGAGTTCAATTCCCAGCAACCACATGGTGGCTCACAAGAGCGGGAGTATTCTTGATATACATGAAGAGGCATTGGGGGCCTGCGAAGGTGGCCCAGACCTAACCACCGAGTTCAATCCTGGAACCCACCTTAAAAAGTGGAAGGAAAGGATAGACTCTGGGGTTGTCCTCTGGCCTCCAGATGTGCTCCGTGGCCTGTGCACTTGTGCAAAGTCAAACACGCAATAATAAGTAAGTAAAGGAGTGGATAAATAAATAAACGTAATTCTTCGAAAGAATCCTGGAGTCCAGTGACTTCTTGGTACTTGAGTCTGTGGGTGTCATAGTGCCCGGGTTGGAAGGGTTAAGTGTGATCCTAGGAAATGTGCCAGAAGGGAAAACAGGTTCTGCTGGCAGCAGTGTGGTTGGGAATAGGAGCTTGGCCTGGCACTGCTGTTCCCTGTGAGCCCAACCTGCCTCCTGTTGGGAGGTATAAAAGAGCCAGGAGACAACAGGGCAAACCCATTCCCACAAAGAAACCAGTCTGAAACACAAGGTCTCTGGTAGCTGCAGAGAGGGCAACGGTCCCCACTGTGTGTCAAGAGAAGAACTTTAGATCTCGGAACTTTGAGCAGTCCCCCTTTGAGTTAGACAGACTGGCCGGTAGGGCCCGGCTCCCTGCGTCGTTGGTACCTAATTGGTTGACTTGTTTTCATTGGTTTATACAGGTCTTTGGTTCTAACAAAGTTGTTCAGCCCCAGAACAGTGGACAGAGATGACACGTACCCACGCTTGCCCCCAGAATTATTTTCCTTTCGCTGGTTATAAATACCTCCGCCTCATGGTGGTTGACGCTCTGTATGCAAATACAGGCAGGAGCCCTGGTGCTCCTTAGGGATGGAGCAGGGTTGGAGTGCTGCAGAGGACAGAGCCTAGCTGGTGACAGTGGCCTTGTCCAGAATAGCGCATGGGAGCTTTCTTATCTCTCTCTGGCAGGAGCTGCTGTGGGCTTCCTGTGGGAAACCAGGGGCAAGCTCTGCTTTCCTCTTGTTGTTCGGCTTCCGCCTCCCTCAAGACTGTTCCCAGCACCGTGGTTATCTTTGCGTCTTCAAACGTGGCACACTCCACTTCCTCAGGAGCTTGATGTGTTCTTAAGACTTAGGCAAGGGCCCCTCCCCCACTCCCAGTCTCTTTTCAAGTGGTGTTAGAGAGGCAGGTCCTCAATGACATTCTATTTTTATGGTTCAATGACAAAGAGGGGGAAAATAATAGCCCCTAAATTAGAAGAGAGCCACAAAACCTGTCCTTTTCATTCGGAGGACCTGGCAAGCGAATGGAGCCTACAGTTTCCACAGTAAGGTTTGATTGAGCCTTGGTAAATGCCCTTAGAGATGAGGATGGCAGTGGGGGAAGGGGTTCAGAGGCCAGTGGCCCCAAGTGAGCCGAGCCGACTGTATTTCCCTTGGGAAATGACTAGGTTTGCTTTACTCAAACATACTTTTTTGCATTTCCTGACGATGAAGTGTAACATGTTTTAAGATCTTTGAGGAAGCCTCCCTCATCCTTTCCAATGCTTTGAGGGGCAAAAGAAAGTACGCGAAGCCTTCTCTTCCGGTCAGGGGCGAACTTGAGTGAGTGCGCATGCGCAGGTCTCACCCAGCGCGTAGGCATGGGTACACAGATTGTGCGTGTTCCTGAACAAACTGAGGCTGTGACAAGGGTCGGCTGGCAGTTGCAGTTCATGATACCAGTGCCGCAGCCTAAAATTGAGAATGTTGATCATGAAAACAAGGGGAAGGCGACATTTATATCATCGTCTTGGGACTCTATTGTTCCAAGGCTTCTTCTAATAGAAGTTGGTTCTGTTCCGTTATACTAATCAATAAGAGCAAAAAAGTTCATTTCTGTTACCTGACAATTACCAAAAATAGCAGAAAACTCCTAAGCACCCTAAGGAAGGATCAGTCCTTGTTCTTTTTATTTTAAACCTTTTCATTTACCTATAAGGTGGTCTTGATGGCGGTGGGAATTGAACTTAGACATTGGGAGAGGTCTGACGTTTGGACCAGGTACAGACATTCAATTCTTGAAACTAGTCGTAAAGGTGGCATTGTGGTTGTAATAGCAGATGCGTATACCCTTTAGTGATCCCCACGGAAGCATGATGTCTAACTGAAAATTGGGCTGTAGGAGGCAGGGGCATAGCTCAGTGGGAGAACAGTCATGTAGCCTGAGGCTGGGGTTCCAGTCTTAGGAACACACACACACACACACACACACACACACCCCACCTGGGTGAATAATCAGCATAACCACATCTGCAGGTCAGGAGCAGGCGCGTACACACCAGGAGACTACTCTGGGTCATGGGGAGAACTAAGCCAGCAGACATCATCCTGGAGGCAGGTCCCAGCTCAAGGCCCCTGGAGGATCTCCTGCCCTCTCCAGCCCTCTCTCCTTCTCCCTTACTCTACTCTCCCATGTGTAGTTCATGCGAGCAATCACTGCTCTGGGGTACTTAGGACCTGCCCCTAGTTCCTTCTGGAAATGGTTTCAAAACTCCTCCTCATTTGAGAATCTCTGGGTTCTTCTGTCTGAGTCATGCTCAAATTGTGTCCAGCAAGCTTTCTGCTCACCAAAGGTTGTAGAGTACAAGACAATGAAATGCTTGAAAAGGGAAAGAGTGGGGACTGGAGAAATGACTTAGCAGTTAAGAGCACTGGCTGATCTCGCAGAGGACCTGGGTTCAAGTCCCAGCACCCACAGCCATCTCCAACTCCAGTTCCAGGGATCTGGTGCCCTCTGCTGGCCTCCACAGATGTGTGTGTGTGTGTGTGTATGCACACACACGTTGCACAGACACAAGCAGACAAAACACCCAACCACATAAACTAAAAATAAGTAATAAATAAATCTTATTTTAAAAATTAAAAGAGCAAGAGTCCATAGGCTTTAAGAATCAATGCTGTTACCATTTTCCTTCGATAATTAAACACTTGAAGCCCAAGAAGTTGAGACCTTGCTGTGATAAGACCAAACTTGGAGAGAGATTAATTAAATTAAAAACGACTCCAAGATGTTTGTTTCCATGGACACTTACTTAGCTCTGGGAGGAAAAAAAAAAAAAAAGATGACTTAACTAAATATTATGACTTAAAGCCACCCTGCGTAGATGTGAAGTGCCACCATTTTCTCAGAGTTTCCATTTATTAATATAACGCCCCACCACTCCCACTATCACTACCAGCACCCCCACCTACCACCACCACAGTGCCACCACAGCCCCACCACCCCACCACCACAGCCCCACCCCACCCCCACAACAGCCCCACCCCACCCCACCACAGCCCCACCACCCCACCACCACAGCCCCACCCCACCACCACCACAGCA